AATCATACTACAGCTTTTGGTGGCTTCAGAAGTAAATTACTCATGTCCTGAGCCCTAATCTCTATGTAAGAATGTACAATCTTCTTATCAGTGTTCTCATTTTACAACTTCTCAACTGAAACGTTTGAAAGCAAACAGAGGCTAAACTATAACATGCAATCCCAACAGTGTCAAAAAAAGCATTTTTCTAAACTCATTCCATTTTCCTTAAAGGAATACAAATTCTATGTAAACTAATCTACATGGATGAACCTGCTTTTGATCATACCGTCTCTCAAATAAATAATACTTATGATCAAACAGGAGGAGTGGATATACATTGTGGGAACTAACAGAATTTAATTTCAATGTAACTATTTGGGGATTGAGAGGAAGAAACCTTCTGCTTAATACAACTCACTGAAGTATGTTTTTTCCTCACTTGTCAAGGAGTTTGCCAAAACAGATAATTATGGATACCCTAGAAATAGTTTAAAAGAATAGAGGCATCATCACATTAGGTTTTTTTAGCATTTCACCTTCTATCCAATTGTGCAAATCAGAACTCACTGAATTTTATTACTGTGTAACAAGTACATACTGCATGAGAAAAGCAGCCATTTACTGTGGTTTTCAATTTCAAACTATTTTCAGGATCTTGATGCTAATTAAAGGAACATGCAATTCTACTTTACTTCCCATTAAATACTGATGTAACACACACATACAGAGCAACAGACAGGTTTCAGTTCAAACTGATATTTGTGGCTGTGCAGCCCTGTGTGTGCTACAGAGGAAGCAGCTTCTACATCAGCAGAGAAGTGCTATCTAGTACAAAGACCTGTATACACAAAGATGTGTTACTAAGGGTTCACATTCAGGATACCATGTTGGTGAGTTCAGAGATAAACCACATTTCCCTCCACACCAGTTTCTCTCAGCATTGCCATAAAGTTTCCTCATTAGTTTTCTGACACCCCAAGGAAGTCTGTAACTTTATTTCTGTCTCCATGCTACAGATATGGCCTTAAATAATGTCAAGTTTCTCAGATACCCTTGAACCTCAGGACATTATCAGAAGTAGTGTGTAGCTAGAAGATCTGTTAGGGGAGAAAAGGGTTAGATTTCTAAATATATTGGGATATCTTGTGTTACAGATGGCAGAATTCTTTAAAAGCCTCTACAAACCTGATGCTCTCTGAAATAAGAAAAAAAAACAAATAGAAGTTAGGCACAGAAAGGTCTGAAGAGATGTTTCCTCCTTGTCTTCATGAGCATCTTTTCTTTCCTTTCTAAATAAGATGTGAAAAAACCAAAATATAAAGATGCCAGGTTTAAATTTCTGTAGCCGGAAGGAAAACTGGGGAGTAGGGGAATAGCAAGAGAGCACATTAACATTTACCTTGGAAATTTCTGGATGAGCTATACAGAAGGTATACTATGGCTCAAAGAATGGAAGGGAATAGCCTCTTAAAGAAATAATTTCCATGGATCGAACATCCTTTCTATAAAACAACTGCTATATCTCAAGACGACTTTTCTTAATAAATTCTGACAACATTAAAGCTGAGGCGGTGAAGTAATACACATGTAAAGTGATATATTATTAAATCTGCTTCCACAAAATAGCATTTGATTAAAATTATTTTAATATTAGTAGCCTTTAAAACATTCTCATTAATTTAAAACTGTAAGGTCCTTAGACAGTGACATATGTCCTACTTGCCAAAACACTTTCTACATACATCTAGTTTCCTATATACATAATAAAAAAAATGTATTAGTCAACTGAGTTTTTAATCCCTAGTTAAACTGGTTAAAATATAATTTAGAGCTGCACAGGAATAAAGTGCAGCCAACCATATAGAATCATACTCAATACACATATAAAGGGACACATGACAGGATGCTACAGTACTGCAAAAATATTCATATTCAAGCTCAGATTCTCACTGTTATTAAGGAGTATATGTACTGTACACATACTGTACACATGCTCAGACAGGACAAAGGCATGATCCAGAATTTTATATCAAGACAGATTCCCTGATTACCATAGGAACAGAGTATGTTTAAGTAGAACATAAGAAATAATGTGATCTGCACTAATTTGTCAAGTTATCATCCTTATCATAATTAAGCTGAGACTTGGCATATTTCAAGCTGTAAAAAAAAATCAAAAGGCAACCAACTGTTAACCAGTATCCCAGAAAATTATTTTAAAACCCAAGGCTTCCAGCATTAACATTCCTTATGTAACTGGCCAGATTAGAAATAATGAAGGTGATGAGCAGCATTCATGAATTATGTCTAGCCAGACACAGAAGGCCAAGTGACTTCCTTCAAAAATTGGTAAAAACGGAGGGGCACACAAGAACAAAAGAAACCATTAGGGATGTGGTACATTTAACACTGCACGTGCTGATTTGTAGTATTTTTCCATTAAAAAAAAAAAAAAAACAGGACAGAAAAACTAAAGAGAGAGGTAAAGCAACTTCTTCTGAGCAGAAGTGAAAACTTGATAATGGAAACAAGTAAACAAAAAAAAAAATCAGGTGTTTGTGGAAGAAAGAATTTTGAATACAAAACATGATCAAGTCTCATGAAAATCATCAAGATACTTAGCTTGATGTCATGACCCAACTATTCTGACCACTGTCAGGGAGGAACAATTCACATTTGTTCTCACTTAAATGACTGACATGTCCTGATGATTTTGAATGACATTTTGTTAGCCTACAGTATTTACCAAACCACTGGTTCCCAACATGTGGTCATCAGTGTGATCAGTAAGATCCAACTGCTTTGTGAAGCTGTATCTCTGCAATATTTTCAATTAAAAATTCATCATGAAAACTGGTAACCTGAGTTGTTGAGCAAACAAACATAAAATTTGTGGGCTTTAAATCCTTTTTCAGAAAGTCTGGTCTTATGGGAAATACACAAAAGAACAAAGATTTCTCACACAGGGTTTCAATATGGAAAATGCCACAAACTGCCAAACAGCAGTTTATCATACCATCTTTACTGTCAAAAGGGAAACATAATATGGAATAGCAGCCAGTAAAGTTTATGTAGCTAAAATACTAAAGCAAATCAGTCCTACAAATAGGGACCAAACAATATGGTATATGTACTTCACTACTATAATTGTAATTATAATTATAACCCTTATGAATTATAATTATACTGAGATGTAAAGGTTTGTGCCAGTTTCAAATCAGAAGAAAAGTAGATCATATATAGCACCCCAAACTATTCTCTGTAATAGAGAAGAAAATTAGGCTTTGCCATCACATATTAAAAATATGACTGGAGCACCCTTTTCAAAATACTAGGGAGAAATTTTAACATACATGTATTTGAACTACTTTTTCTTACACAGGAAAAAAAATGTTTAGAGATTACTTGAAAAGTTAACTATTTTCAAATTTCTAGTTTATAATTTCTGCTCTGTGATATGGTCAATGAACAGCCCTGCAGGTGAAGTACCTAGCTGCTAAATTATTTCTCAGAACTATTACCCCAAGAAACTAAAAATATACAAAGTCCTGTAACTCTGAACGCACCATTAGTCACAGCAATCTTTCACTCTCCATAAATTGCTTTTTCTGGAAGGTAAAATATTTAGAACACTATTGTTCCACAGTTCTCTCACCTGTGGAGCCTTGCTCCATATTTCAAAAATGAACCAACAACTCTAGCACCAGAAAGAGTTTTACTGCACCAAGTCCAGACCCAAGGCTGCCTGTCTTGGAGAACGTTTACCTCACAGCAACTATCAGAGCAGCCTGGCTCACAGAAATGATGGAACTAAAGACACAACACTTCCCATCTTCAAACATCACATTAAGTGGTAATTTCAACAATAAAAGTTGTTTGCATACAGTTGGAATAAGCCAGAAGTAATTAAAATTAGGTCAGTCCAAACTTAGATGGAGCAACTGTTGTAGTATCAGTTCCATGGCTCTACATAAGTAACTAGACTGGGGAGGAAAAGGAAAAAATAAAAAAAATAAAAACCCAAGCCCATATTTACTACTTCCTGAATAGGTTTAAGGATAAATTTAACTTAAACTTCTTTCATTCATGGATGTATTATAGTCATTACTGTCTCTATAGCCTCAGTGGCAAGTGTGAAAGAGGGGCTGAGAGAATGAGTTGAAAAGCTGTACGTTGTGTAGGAGCTTGTTTCAATGACAAACTTCCCCAGGTCATATCAACACACAGGCAGTCAGGACAACTTTCCACGGGGCAAGATGTTCCAGAAGATCTCAGTGACCAAATAGCTGGATATGCCAATATATGTTCAGGGATCTGAACTTGACACAGTTACTCCTGATGCAAGTCAAGTATCTGCCTCCTTGGGTGTAATTTTGAATCTGCTGCAGCAAATTATGTCTTCTCTTTCATTCCTAGCTGGTGCTTAGCAACTTATAATATAAATGCTGGGCAACTCATGTATGTGTGTGCATGCATCTGCATACACAGATCAGCAGTCAAACTTGTTTCTAAACTCCTTACAAACTCATCAATGTGAAAGACACTAGAGGACATTTTTCTGCTTTCTCTTATAGAAAAAGACATAGCTGCAACTCCCTGTACCATTGGCACTGTAAAATGCTAGTGCAATTGGTTTTTCTGATTTGATGAATCCACTGGCAGCTGGGTTTGAAACCCACATTTTAATATCAACTACTATGAAAAAACCTTACAGTAATTAAAATGCCATAACAGCAATTTAAGAATTTTTTAATTGAAGAGACTCTTCAATGGTTCTGATCATCTTAAAGAACCTATGTATTTCATCTAAAAATAATTTTAAATTTAAGAAATAAAAAGTTTATTTTACTTTTTGCTAAGTGTTAGCTATCTAGTCAGTGTGCATTTTCATCAATTAGGCAAGGAATATACTAAATTCTCCCCCATAAGTGGCAGATTACTGCACAGATGAGTCCACTATAAATTAATTATGGTAGTTTCATTTCACCAATTGAAAATTTAAAGACATTACATCTCACCTCAATTGTGGGTGGATCTTCTCTCTTTTTTCTTATCCATGCTGAAAAAAAAATTAAATAGATTATTTCAAATATCACAAACAGTATTAAAACTCAAGATTATTATTAATTTGTAACAGAAAGGAAGTATTTATGAAAAAAAAAATAGAATTCACCACAACCTGGCAAACCTGTCATTTCCCAAAATGTAGGCACAAGATGTTATTCCCCATTTCAGAGAAGGGAGTTGTAGGGGATGTGTCACCTCTGTGTGGAGACCTTGGGCACGGTTTACATTCCACCTTGGCTGTCAAAACAGGGGTTATGGCACAGGCTTATTGTTGAGTTTGCAGTACAGTGTTGAGGTACACCCTAAGAAAATGACAAGCTGACTGATGGAAAGTAAGAACAGCCTTAGACCACTCTGGTGGAAAAGGATTCCTGTACATGCTTCAGACATTCTTAAAGCTGAAAACTTTTCATGTTACCACCAGGTAGAATACCTTTACAGGTATGAAAGGTACAGCCCCAGACCTGACTGAGGGACTGCAGAGCCTGGACTGAACACATCATGTGGCTCTGTGGATTTACTCACTGCCAGGAGGGGTGGGCACTGTGCCTGGCAGAAGGATCCCTCCATCTCAGTTAATTCATGCTGGAAAAGACAGTAGAGGAATGGAGGAATAAAAGTGGTGGCAATGACAGTTGTCCTGTGGCTCAGGTTTTCTGAATGAGATCCACAGACATTTGCCTACTCCCATCACTATCACTGCTGTTAGCTTGGACTGTCAGGAGGCAACAATTCAGACACCACATCACAGATGCTGACAGCTCTCTTTGTACAGTCAATGAATTAAGAGAGAGAGCTCCAAATATTACAGACATTATTTAGAGGAATGACCTGACACCACTTTTTAGAAATACCACTACTGTAGCATTTTTTCATGGCTTTTTAATCTACACAATTGGTAGATTCTTGGTTGAATACTTCAAAGACATTTGTCTTTACTTCCCATATTTTTCAAATTAATTAGTTGCAGAATGCAAGTAGCCAGTAATGAACAGAATGACAGACATAAGGAAGGCCACTTCCAAGTGCTGAGATGCATCACAATGTTATTTCGTATGTTTGTTTGGGTAATTAAGATTTTTGTTCCTATGCTTGAAAATGAGAGCAAACATAACATTTTGCTATAACCCACTCAAATTCCTGGCCTCACTTATTGCCATCTATAAAGTTACAGAAATGCTTTAAGAAGTAAATAGTCCATATTTTAATTTTCTAATACCATCCGTGCTGTATTTTGAGGGGCACCAGGGAACGATTTAGACAAGCCTAAGACACTAAAACCTGCACAGAGCCATAACATCATCTCATTTCTGAAAATGCAATTACATAGAAGGTGAAACACTAACACCAGCAACAGTATGCAACTGGTTTTAGGGAGAATAGGTTCCAATTAACATATGAACAAAGGGAGATGAAATGGTAGAACAGCTTGGAATTCATCCAGCATGTCAAGGCAAACAGCCTTGGTTAATGGTAAAGTTTAATGGTAAAATACCTGCAAAGATATGAAACAAGGTAATACTTTCGGTTCTTGTCTATCAGATGCCACTTCCTGAAGATATGTACTTTTAAATGTCTTTCTCAAACTGCTTTTCTTAAAAGCAGGCCCTGTCCTCTCTTCTCAGCATTCCTAACAAAAAATAGATCCAATCTATTGTCATTGTTGAGAAGTGACAGAGCTATGAAGAGTCAACACACTTTCTGCAAGATTTATGTCAGTGGAAAGAAAAACAGCCCAATAATGTAATTCAAAATACAACTTAATGACTTTCTATTAAATCTGTAGAACTTGCATGTACCTATAGCACTTACAAACATTTAAACTTTTGTAGGATTTCAAACTGCAAAACCTGGTCAGACGAAAGACTAAACTGAGACTGTCACTTCTCAGCTGGCAGCCTTACATACGCTCTGTAACAAAACCAATCATGCTATTGAAGAACATCTTATCACACAAGCATTTCCTCCTGAAGGAAGTTACCTTTGTCCATACTTAGCAATAGTTTCAGATTACTGAAATACTTGGCAACATCATTCAGAAAAAAGCAAAAAGTAGTAGAGATTTCAGATATAGCAAAGTGTGTATACTAGACACTAATCAATAAAAGATACAACTGGAGAAAAAAAGGGAAAAATACTAGTTCAAAATGCCTCATAAAAAGTAAATCTTAAACCATCAAAATTTAACAATTACTTTCAATGAAATATCATCTTCTACCTTGCCATGCCTTGCTTCTGACCTGTGGAAGGACAGTACCACTGTTTTCAGTCCCATAGCTCTCAACAAGTAAAAATTGCTTTACTTTATTCAAAATTGCCAGTATTTTCTTAAAACACCAGTGGCATTTTTACTTCAGATGATTATAATAACTGATTCCTAAAGAAAAATTTTGAAATAAAATTAAGCTGCAGCTAGAAAGTACTGCTGAAATACAAACATTACAATAGATTTTCTTTCAAGAACACCTGTGACTTTTAGCAGTTCTTTGACTAATGATTTTCAGATGAATGGAATACTTCTAGTAAATTATTTTATAATTTAATTATCTACCTTGTTTAAGAAGCTGCAAACAAAACAGTGAAGCGCAACACTATCACATATGTCCTGTGAACAGAGGCTGTGAAGTAAGAACCACTCCACAATAAATTTTCATTCATTAACGGAATTCAGTAACAACACTCAAAAGCAAAGAAACAAACCTTAATTTAGGAAGATTTTTCGTATCACACATTCCATAATAGAACTGTATCTATTTAAATACATAAATAATGCACACATTTTTAACACTGTGCTCTTTTTCTTTCCAGTCATAACAACACTAGAATACTTGGTTTTATTGGAGCTATTAACCTTCCTGTTTTCTAATAAATGTCAGGGGTACAAATCTTTTTCAGCTTAACGGTACGTAAGACTTGTTGGCTCAAATATTGATACTACAAGTAAATTAATTGTAATATCTCTCATGAACTTCATAAGTAAGTCATTATTTAATGAAAGATTTCCTCACTGCCATGCAGCTGAGGAAGGACTATAGCATGAAAATTTGCTAAAATCTTTTTATATTCATAAGATGAAGTTAGTTAGATTTAACGTTATCATACTCCTCTGTGCAAATCCACTTCTCAAATATTCTTCATAAAGCTCAAGAAGAAATATGAGTTTAAAAGCAAAGAAAACATCATCTATTTCAGTATATAAGTCTTTCAAAAGAAATACATTTTACTAATAATTCACCTGACCACTCCTTAATCATTGGGGGTAAGAATGGGAGGACTCTAGTACACTCAATTCTCACCAGTTTTTATGTGGTTCTTTTTGAGACAGGAAGATTTTTAAAAGCATTTAAAATCTTTGACTTTTAAGTTACCAATAAAATTTTGAGCACCCAACACATGGTTCAAAAAAAGGACCATTACCTCATAACCCAGGCATCAGAGAAATTCATGGTAGCAAAGGGAGAATGAAGGTGTATAAAAATATAACCAATTTCCTACCAGCACTATGTTTAACATAATTCAAGTAAATAATATGTTGAAGTTTATATATTTTGCATTCTCTTCATATATCTGCGTATACCCAGATGCAAAATATACATATCTGTGTATAAAGCTGAGCAAAGAAAAAACTCTTGTACCTTTCTTTATGATCACCTTTGGTAAATGCACTTTTAAATTACTCAACAGCTTTACACCATAGCCAAATATTTGTTGATGGAAACAAGGTATGTAGGTGCTTTATTACATTTTATTTGAACAATATATAGCACACATGTATGTACTTAATAAAAATTTGACAGTTATAGCTGGGAAAAACTTTTACATTATGTTCCCATTTCCCTAAGCTAACAAAATGAAATGCTTTCACCATTGTCAGCCAAGATTTTTTTAAACCTGGCAGAGAAGGTAACATGTATGTACTGAGTGCAACCCAAACATCCTCCCTGCTCCCAAAGCTTTGGCAAAATGTATCATTGCCCCCATTTAAAACTGCTGCTTCTAATTTTATCTGGATGTACTCATTTTAATTCCACCTTTGTCAAAAAGGAATTTTGCAAGTAAGCTGGACATTTCTTACCTTGAGATATTCGCATTCTTTCATCAGCACTGATTTGCATTCTTATTAGAATGCATGAAATTTTCATTGAACTTTAAGACTCCTACTGGCCGATAACAAGCTGCAATGGCCATAAAAGTGAACATGCAAATTAAGATTCCCATTAATCACTAAATGTTACCAAGAAAAAGAAAAGAGAGATTAGGAGTAGACAGCAATAAAATGCTGTATGAAGCATGCCTTCTCCCAAATCTTTGTGGTATGTAAAATTACAGATCTCCCCTGACATGTCTTGAGGAGGTAAATTACACATACTTAAGTAGGTGAACATTCAGAACTAAAATACAAAAATGTTATCTGTTGTGTGCATCCATACTGCCTAAGGAAAAGGAGGCACTCACTCTCTGAAGTAAAATACAAGAGACTTCACTGAAACAAAACCAGGCATTGTTGTATACAAATATGTGTTTGCAAATATTTGTATACAAATATTTGATTGCATTCTAAATTTAAAACTACAGCACAAGAGGAAATACACTTTTGGATTTTTAAAATTAAAATAAATTAAATTTTAGGTGTAGAAATAGCTAACACTGAGAACAACACAAGGGATTGTTTTAGCTTTACAAAAACCTTAATGGACATGTCAGAACTTTTAATAAAATTCAGAGGTTTGAGAATGTACATAATTCAATCTTGCAGAGCACTTAACACTAACATCTTTAGGATAAAATTTCCAGACAAGTCCTTCAGGAGTAAACCCTTGGTCTTGTATTCAGTAAATATAAGTACACAAACAACCTCTCCAGAATCAAAGAAACATCTTGCACAGATTGAGTCTGTGACCTAGATGATGCTTTATAGCTTTCTACTTGGTCTCCTTTACTTTATTACATGTTTAAAACTTGATGAACACAGCACCAGAGTCAGTTCCCTAGCTGTCCAAGTTGTCTTAGGTACAGAATGAGATTTAACTTGTTCTGTCCTCCAATTTCTCTACAGCCTGTTCCCACTCCTTACACTATCCTTTGTCCCTGGTTTTGTGAAAGTTCTCTTCAGACAAGTGATGCCTGTAAGTATTTCCAGGGATGGTACTTTTATTAATTTTGGTCATAAGAGGTTTCTTTTTCTAGTCATACAGTTGTGCAGGGTAACAAAGAAAGGAAAAGGGTGCTGGGATGACTGCTGTTAAATGAGGTGGCCATTTAGAATTGTTCACAAGTAAAAAAAACCTGAGTCCTGGCAGAACAAAGACAGTACAGGTAAAAGCAGCTCCCTACAGGTCCCAAGAAAAGGAGGACATAAGGGAACAGACTCTTCAGCACAGTCTTAAAAGTGAAAAGCCTGAGAAGAATAGGAAGGAGAGCCAGCCAAAACTTAAGTAGAGGCCATGGATGTCAAAGTACATACTCTGGGTTTGGAGAGGAGGCCCCTGGAGATGTAAATGTGGGCCCACCAGAGTCCAAGAGCAAAAAGAAAATAAAGCAAGAAATATTAAATGAAATTCTAACCTCATATTCATCTTTTACTGTTCAGAGGAATTATCAAGTATTTTAGAACTCCTTCTGCAAAGTCTCAAGCTATTTGTTGGAATGATCAGCATCCATAATAGCATGAATTATAATGTAAACACCCACAGAAAGAATGTACTGGGATATTTTCAAGTATCTGGACAAAAGACACAGGGTGAAAGTTCAGCACAGGTCCTGTGGGCCTGGGAAACATCTAGACCAATGTTAAAGAGGTAAAAATTGGGACAGAAATTTAATGAGAAGTTCAGCAAAGAGTGTCTAAAAATTTTGAATTAAATTTTTCTTACTCAGAAATTGGCTTCTACACTAGTATTTAAACTATCTACACTTTCCGTTCCTTCTCATTTTTAACTAATTCAGAATTTCTTTTTTGACAGGAGGCAAAAAAGAAGTAGTGATGAATTGAAATTCAGAGCATTCTACATCCCTCACACCCCAGGATAGGTAGCCAAGACATAATAGTTCTTTCAATAGCTTCCATACCCACAGCAGAAGTACCAGTTTTCACTTGTCAAAATTCTACATCCATAAAACCGTTTGCAAAGATTAGACTAGCACTGGACGAAAAAATACAGTTTAGCCTTTTTCTCTGGAATTCCAATCTTTATCTCTCAGAAGCATACACTACATGCCCTTCTGGTTAATAAATGCACCAGAGAAAAAAGCATGCATATATCTCTTCTTTCTAGAGACAGAAGTAGGGTTGTGGTTGAGGAATGGTACTCCTCAGTTTACTTCTCTCACAAAAGCTCCCCAAACCACACTGCTGACTGCTTCCTCTCCCTTCCTCTTCCACTCTTCCCCACTGAGGGTGGCCAGGGAGGAGGATGGGAATCGCAAAAGGCAAAGATCACGGGGTGAGATAACAATTACTGGAAACAGCAGTGACATAAGAAAACAAACAGATATTAATGCTAATAATAAAAGCATACAAAAGAGAGGGTAATTTTCTTGCAAAATGCTCACCAAGTATGATGTGAGATGACCACAGCCATGTTTTATCCCAATCAGAAGCCACGCCTTTTTTCTCAGAAGCCAGAGTCCCCTTCCCCTACTCCCAGCAATAACCTAAGGTGGTATTGTATAACATCTGGATTCTGGCCACACCCTGTCAGCCACACCCTCTCCTGGTGATTGCAAAAATTAACTCCCTCCTTGGCCAAAATCAGGACAAGTACTTAAGAGCAAAAGACTATTACTCAATCGGCAAACTGCAAATTTTCCTTTCCTCTGTGAATTCTTTGCCGACAATGTATTTGTATTTGCTGACAAAATCACAAAAGAAAACCTCATGGTTACGAAGATGAGGAAGTTAAGCAATAAAACTGTAAACATAGCTCATAACAACAGGACTGTCCAGTTAATTGCTTCTTCTCTAAAACAAATCTGAACAGGATGCCTTGACTTGAAAAGTGTGCCTCAGGTCTGGCAGCTGCAGCTTTTTAGACACGTCCATATGCCCTTGAGGGTACATGGTATTTGACTTCAAGGTCTTTTCACACACAACATCCCAAAAATCTGCAACCTTCAAGGCACTACACTGTCAAATCCCATGGTTTTGAGCTAAATTTCTGAAGAGAGATATAACAGAGGATTTTCAGCACTACACAGATCCTAACAGCATGAAGCAATGGGTTTGTATAGCAATTTGGTCTAACCCCATTTGTGAAAGGATGATTAGCCAACACCCATCTGAGACAGTCTGACTGTCCACATTGTGTTCCTGTTAATTCCAGACAACTGCAGACAGAGACTACTGAATTGTCCTGGATGGGAATTCCTTCACAGGAGCTTCATATATACTTCTTGGTGTCTGTGGTGCAGTGTTTGCATGACACTCACAGAGAACTAAGATGAGCTCTAACTGACAGCTGGAGAACTTTTGGATGACCTTCAGAAAGCTGGATAAATAGCATTCATCCATTCAAGCACCAGATGATTTAGTTAGTACAAGTCTATCAGGTTGCTGCTGTCCTTCAGAAGATGGCTCTCTTGGACTGACAAAGAAGCAGAAACAGCTAGAGCAAGACTTGCCAACCCCCTGAGGGTACTGCAGAAGTAGAAGACAGAAACTGTTGATACTGTGGTTTCACCATAGCTGGCAAACACTGCCAATAGTGTTGAAACACCTTTCAGAAGCTTTCTGCTCTTACTGCTAACCTCAGTTGATCACAGCAAAAATCCTGGGAATTAGTGTAATGACAATGATAAAAAACAAGATAAGAATGTTTTCTATTTCTGTATTGACTCCATGAAGGAATATGATGGGCCTGAAGTTTTCTTTTTGTTCAGTATCATCTCCCTCAGAGAAGAGCATCAAGCATAAAGGAAAGAGAATGAGGTAAAGCAAGTATACTAAGACATTTCCTCCAAATATGTTGTAGACTCAATTCATTTGCAGCTCATTCACAAATTAAACCACAGTAATATCTGTTCCTACTGAACTCATGCAAACTTCTAGCAAGCAGAATAGTCCACCATGAGGAATTCCAGAGCTTAAATACATACAGCTTAAAATCTGTTTGCTTTAAACCTACCAACTTCTGGGAGATGTTGAGGTATTTTTCTTTCCCAAAAGCATGTTGAGTAATGGGTAGCCTCTACATACTATTTCAGGGATTCCTTGCTTATGCTGCAGAGTCCTGGATTCTAAGTCACATTTAATCCCACACTTAGGTCAAGCACCTAACAACTTCCAAGACCAACATATACTCCTCTCGTTTCTCTCTTTCTCCAACAGCTGATCAGCTAATCCTAAGGAAATGCGCTAACTTCCCTGAAGTGTTTATTATATCACAAATTTTCAGAAAATAATTTAATCAGTAGCAGTTGGACAAGATATTTACTTATTAACAGGTTCTCCAACTCTCTACTAGATTGCACAACGGAGAATACAGGAAACCAAATACACCATAAAAAAAGCAGCCCCATCACTGGTGACACCAGCATGTAGGTGATCTGACTTAGATATTAACACTGCAGTGAAGGAATAATAAGGAAGTTTTGTTTTATTCAGTGCACTTCATGCTGGTTATTCAATCAGATCCTCCACAGGCACAAATATTTTCACATTTAATAGAAATAAGTCATCTCCACAGAGGCTTTACTTTCATTAAGTACTGACTTCTCAAACAAAATGTATCCTATTTTTAAAGAGTTATTTTAAGAATTCATATTGTTATATAGTTAAATAAAAGCCTGCCTTACCTAAAATGAAAGATAACAAATAACTAATTCACATAGTCAGGCCTTCCATTAAAAATACAGAGCCTGCATTCAATGGCAAAATTATCTTGAAATAAAACCAGAATATTTACCTTCCCATTCTGCTGGAAAGTCCCCAGTTTGATACTGATACGCTTCACGATTTACCGCTTCTACAAATCTCCTTTCCGGTACAATCTGCCCTAAAGCAGAAAAAAGAGAAAGAAAGATACATATAATTATATTATATATTTCATATGTAATATAACGTTATATAGAAATACAGTTAGATAGAAATATCCTATATAAATTGTTTAACTGTATTTTTATATAATAGGTATTTTATATTATTTATTTCTATATAAGTTTATAATTGCTGATCACCTTATCATTTTGAAAGAATGTATTTATTCACGTGAGTCGAATGACATAGAGGATGAAAATGAAAGATTAAAATACTGAGAAAATTATTACCATCTAGACATCAATTTGAAACGTTATATTTCAGTAGCTTCAAGAAAAGCATCCATGTCTATTTTGAAGTTGACTTGTATTATTGATGATGAAAAACAGCACTCAAAGTTCACTGGCTAGGTTTGTAAAGCCATCAGGCCATATCATCTCCAATCACCAGCATCTGCCTTGTGCTTGTGAGATTTTCCACAACTGCCTATAAACTAAATAAAATACATTCTCTTTGTTAAACCCAAAAACCAGAAGGTAGGAATCTGATAGGGAACACTCAGTATATTGAAAGGGAGACAGTGTGGGGCATCTAATCTACACATCCCACATTCTGATTCTATTACTGCCAAAGAAGAATTAAAAACTTCGAACTGAAAGGTGGTACGCAGCAGACTGACTGTCAGATATTATGCTACTGTATGGAGAAAGCATATTTTAATTTGCTTTTTAAATTAGCAGGTACTGCAAAGATATGCAAGGCTCCCATCCCTCACAGGGAAAAATCCAACAGTATTCCCTAGGCTTTTTCTACCAGCTTCCTCTCTTCCTGGGGTGCTCATATGGAGAAATTTGACATTTTGAGGAAACATTAAGTATACCTGCATAAAACATTTTATTTCATAATGAAGTGATTAATGCAGTTCATTCCTTCAGTATGCTTTCAACAAGTATTTCAACTGAAGTTATTTTAAAACTGATACCAGTTGGGACATGGAACCATTAGTAGCTAAGCCCCACACTATTATTCACTATGAAGTATTTAATACAGTAAAATAAGAACTTGTATATAATGTGAAATTCCTTTTCTAAGATTTTTCTTTAGCTTTATATTTTATTTTCAAGCAAAATGCAACATTTTTATTTTTTCAAAATATGTCATCAGGCAAAGAATATTGTGTAGAATGCCTTCATCTCCAAAATTAGATATTTTTAATCAGTGTTGGAAGTTATATGATTGATACTTGTTTATTTTATAAGTACACAATTCCTATAAGCTGATGAAATTATAGTTTGTACCTAGCTGTAACACAATTTTTTTTTCAACAATACCATGGATGATTTAATTTCTTACACTATTCATCTACAAACCAAAACAAAACTACAGAATTACTTTCTTCCCATGCAGAAGATTTCCAGAAAAGCTGAAGAGACATTTTAATTAGGGCTGATCCCATCTAAGTCTCAGAAAATACCACTCTTCTCCAATCTTGTAAAGTTACTAGACTTTACTGTTAGAACAGCACCTCTCAAAAAACTGTCCTTAATTTGAGTATTACACCATCTGAATAAATAACCATTAGAAAGAGTAGTGAAGAACTGTTTTTTTCTAAGTGCCACCACAACTTGTGACTGGTATTATTAAACAAAATATTCCACTTCTTATTCTGCTGCAAGCTTTCATAAAACACATAAAAACTCATTCTCCAGATCCCACTGTCAAATCACACTGTAGAGCCAAACTCAGAAATTATTCCCCAAATGTGTTATTTTGAGTACTGCTGGTGGCTTTTAAGCCTCTCTGCATTTGTGATGCACACATGACACTAATTAACTTCAACTGCCTGATTTGCCTTGTCCCCTAGGTTTTTTTTTTGCAGACCACCACTGACAAATAATTTACATAGACTTTTGTAGGGAAGATCACACTGAGGCCTCTTTAGATGTAATTAAAACATTTTATAGTTTGGGGAAGCGTTTTTCGTACCAAAGATTGACTTCATTGACTGTTTTGCTTCCTCTTAATTCATCCCCATATTTTCAAACAAATACTTGGGTCTTTGCTACAGCAATGCAAGAAATTTCACTTGTAAGAGTGTACGTATGAAGCAATTAAAAATAGCACCATAAGAACAGTTTTAACTTTAAAATTAACCTCATTTTCATGTGACCACTGGATGTTAGAGACACTGAAGAACCATTAATGCTTCAAATTGGGATTATATACATAACACAATACATCCAATTGAGTCTTAAAAAAATAGCAGGTCACTTCAGAAAGAATTTAGCAGATGGACAGAATAGTAACATAGAATATCAGATACAAAATCGTTTACACTGAACACCAAAGTAGCCAAGATTTGCAGGAGCTTTCAAGCAAGCAAAATGGCCAAGAAAATTATGTAATTGACAGATCTTTCAGCAAGTGATACAGTATTTACATATGTTACATTTATGTATTTTCTCACTTCACATATTTTCTCAAAACCTTTCAGTCTACTGAAAAACCAATGCTTCATGACTGAAGTGAATTTGTATAAAAGCCCCAAAACAGAAGTATTTAGCAGAAGTTTGTGGCCTGCTGGCATAAGAAAGGGGATAGTAAAAGCCAGCCCAGGAAATACTCAGTGAAACATAAAAGGGTAGCCAATGGCATAATTGGCATAAGAAGTTTCTAAATTTCTACAGCCTTATCTATACACTAAGGAGTCCAGAAACCAGGCTACATTGTTACAAAAAACCCCCATGATTAACAGTAGATATGTACAGATGTTATAAAATTAATATTTTAATTTTTCAGTAACTTCTAAAGAAGAGTGTTTCTATGGGCAAAATATCCTAGTTAATCCCCAGCAGTCATTAAATACTATATATATGTATTTACATTTAGAAAAAGCCATTGAAGAACCTTTCACATGAAAATAATGAATCCCAAAATTGTTGTGTTCTATAAACAAATTATTACTATTCTGACACCAATTTTGAAAAAAAAATTATACACACTATTCTAAATATCTTCAGGAGCCCTGATTTTCACTGTTTACAAAAGCATTATTTGAAAAAGATTTCCTGTTAACCCTCAAACAAGCTTGTACAATTTTTGCTAAACAAACTATGACACACACAATGAGTGAGAGCAGAAATGGGACCAGAAACAAGGAACTGGATGTTTCTGGTACCTGAACTGAGCTACCTGAACAAGAGCCCCTGCCAGATATAAAGTATCAGCATGTTTTGCAGTCAGCAAATGGAAACAGGATCTCCAGCTCACATACTACTATGTGAAAACAGTAATTGCCATTCAAAATGAATGAATATCAGATGTTCATGAGAACATCTTTTGGCTGGCTGATTTGCAATGTCTGCATACTAAGAAGAAACCATGGAAGAAATGCTGCACTACGATGGGTTTTTTTAATGCAGAGACTGAACTTGTAGCCTTTGTGAATTTAAGGCAAATGGCCTAAATTCCAGTTTGCACAGCAGTGCTCTAAATTTCATGATGAAAGACACATTTGTAAAGTATACTTTTTTACTGAAGTGCTATGTAATTTGAAAAGATTAAATCCTGTTAATTCACTAAGAGCCTATTATTTCCCTGTCAGCAACACAACATAAACTTCACCTACTCAAAACAAAGGCTTCTAAAATTTTTTTCAGCAGTATCTTACAACACTCAAGGAACAGGTCACCCATTTCTTTCCTGTTGCTAACCACCAAATAAACTGTAGTTTTTCCTAAATGTGAAGTAGCACTTGAATTACCAAAGCAACTGAACTATAAGCAGTTCTTCATATCAAGCAAAGGAAGAAATACTTCTCTGGAAGTAACAAACATAGATTTATGTATCTATAGGCTACAGGAGCAGCCCATCACTGTCAGAACAGGATCTAGAGTTTTCCATCTCCACTGAAGAAGGAAAAAAAGTTTGTTACAAAAGACAACCCTTTTAAAGCTGAGTAATAGTTTATGAAAGCCATTATCTTCTCTTTGCATAGATTTTTAGCTGAGGGAGTCTATTCATAGTCTGTTTATATTAACTTGTGGCCATATTTCCAGTGTTTCTGCAATATCTTTACCTTAGGAAAGACATAAATATTTTAAACTAATATATTTTTACCCAAAGAATTATGGGTTTTTTTCCAAATATAGACTTCTATGATGTTAATTAACTTTTGCTTAGTGACAAATTAATAACTTCCAACAGTTCATTATATTCATTCATACAATACATACAGTATCCTGAAACACAAAAAATTTAAGTATTTGCACCTAACATCTATACTTACAAATGTACTTATATTTTCTCCAATAATCTATAATGCTTTATGCTTTATAAAATCATAACAGAAACACATTTTAACTTTTAAGAGCCAGCAAGGCCACAGACGTTCAATGGTTCTGATTTCCATTTACCTGAAATGAACCAGTGTAACTATGATATTTTATGAAAAATCTTCTGCTAAGATTTTTCCCCTCCTGACAGCTGAGTGCCTCAGGAAAGAAATGTAAACAATAACTGTCTGCTGCTGTGGAGTGCCACAGGTGCATCTTTCATTGGTCCATGTGGATTGTTTTCAATCAGTGACCAATCACAGCCACCTGTGCCAAGGCTGTGAGCAGTCACGAGATTTTGTTATGGATTCTTATTCTATTCTTGTCTTTGTAGCCTTCTGATTCTTCTCTCTTTGTTCTTTTAGTATAGTTTTAATGTAGTATTTTAATATAATATATAACATAATAAATCAGCCTTCTGATGAAAATAGTCAAGCCTCCTGTCCTCCCACATGGGGTCTCAGAGACAAGAAACCAGATCAGTGATTTCCAGTTTTTTACAACAATGCAGGATCAAGAAATACTAAACTTGTTAAGTGCTGACTCAGCAAATCCACAAAAGCTGTAAATATCAGGGACTCGCTGTCAAGAATTGTGTTTCAATTTTGCTACTTATATTTACATTTTAACAGCAATACATTTGACTTTCCAGAGTTGTCTACAAGTACTAATTTCTTCCCAATGT